AGTTATTCATTCTTTTTACAAGTTGTTACAAAACTTTCTACAAGTTCAATAAAATAAAATTACCATTTTAAAAAACAGTGAACTCTATGTGTGATCCTTTGCCTGAACTTATGAGACGACAAGGAGTGATAATGTATTGATATTTGACAATAGTTTATACCAAGATTCACTGGATCTACATCACCGTCTCTTGAAGCTAGTCACGACTTCTTTTTTTTTTTTTGACAACAATAAAATAGAATCCTGTTTTCTTGGTAATGAATATGCACAAGTTATTAATATTGACATATACTCCCTGCACCCCATTTTGTAACATTTTTTTGGGGAGTGATTTGATGTTTTAAAAAATAATTATTTATTAATTAACATTATCCTAAGATTACCCCCCATATTTTACTGTGTCTATAAATTTGTTAAGGTAAATGTCTCTTGAAGCTAGTCATGATGCTTTTTTTTAAAAAATAATAAAGTAGAATCATCTCAAGTTTTTTTTTTTGGTAGTGAATCTGCACAAGTTATTCCTATATCAAATACGATAATATATATAGTACTTAACTAATTTTGAATATAATAAATTAATAATATGGGAGATACAAAATCTAATTCTTGGTTAATGGTAATAATTACTCAGGAGAGAATCAGATGACCCTTTATGGCCAAAATTGATCCTTCTCTTATGCCACGTTTGGTATGAAAAAATAATTTTAATAGAAGTAAAAATAAAAATTGAAATAAAAGTAAAGGTTAAAATAAAAGTAGAAATGAAATTTAAAGTATGGTTGGTACGTAAATTTTTAAAAAAATAAAATTCAAGCACCTAGTACGGTAGTACCAGCAACCTTCCACGTCTAATTAACCACATCCATTCCAAAAAATAATCTATTAATAGCTCAACAATAATTGAAAATTATCTCTAGAAATTATTGAAGCACCAAGTGAAAGCATAATTTGAGGCAAATCAAGCGTTAGTCAACTTGTGAGTTGAAATAAGACTACTTTCATTCTTGAGGCAAATTAATATCGAAGCAAATCAAGCTATGGCTGGAGACGAACAGCAGAGAAGCAACCCATCGGAACCCAAATCAAATCGCGCCTGAAGGAAGACAACTTTGACAGCCTGGACATTGTCGATGACTATAGGGAGTCGTGACGCTAGGGATTTGCTGGCGCTTGAAGCAGGCGTTGGAGATTCAGAAGGTCGATCAGCCGCATCTTTGATGGCGGAGGTGTTGGTATAGCCTCCGTCTTGGTCTGTCATCGGCAACTTTGATGGTAGAGGCGCTCGGGATTTGAAGGAGCTTGAAGCACGATCACTTCTGGGTTGGAGTGAGGGGAGAAACTTGAAGGGCAGAGATGACAGAGGATGAAGGAAGTGAAGGAGGAACTCAATTCCATGTGTATGGGAGAGGAACCGAATTTCATTTACTATGGAAGTGACTTCCTCAGAGAAACGAGTTCCCGTGCACCAAACATTATATTTTTAAATTTTCACTTTCACTTCGTCACTCCCGATTCCATTCTACCAAACGAGCTTAATACTTTACTTTTTTCAATTTTCTCACCCCTTTGAAAGATACTAATTCTGCATAATCAAGTAATCAACAGCCCATTAATGGAATTGAACAATTAAAATTTTAAAGAAATTAGTATTCCGCTGACTTCATGACAACTCATCCCGAGTTTTGTTTTCTTTTGGGTGCCAATTGATACTCTGCTAAACTGAATTATTTTATTGGTCAGCCAAATTGCCATAGTGTAGGCGCTAAAAGTCAGATCTTTCAGGTTTTTTTTTTTTTAAAAAAATTATTACAACTTAGTATACAAAGAAGGGCTCACATGCCACAAAAGAGTAAATATGCATGTCAGATTGTCAGCATTAAATAAATTAGATTTTCTATTATTTGGCAAAAGAAGTTTAGCGTGTTTTTGTTAATAGTTTTTTAGTTTGTACGTTTTAACTATGAAATTTTGAGAGAAATAACAGTTGAAAATAAAAAGGGATTATTATGCAATTTGTACTATAAACTATAGATCTAAGAAAAATTTAAACCTTAAATTCATATTTAATATATTTTGAATTTGAATATTAAACAATTAAATATGAGACAATTTCACCCCACAATTAATAAGGAATTAATATTCGTTTGTGTCATGCATGGTGAGGCTCTCTCTCTGTGCTTAGCTTACACATGCTTCTGACTCTCTCTGTCTCTTCCCATATCTCGCTACTCTCTCGCTGCTCTTTCCTTGTTCTCATCACTTCGAGCTAATTCGTTTGGGAGTGGAAGAAGAGGGTGTCTCATAATGTTTGTATCACTCACTTCCCTGCCAAAATTTGTTCCAACCTTATCCATACCAAGTGCTTCCATCTTCCCCTTTTGCGTTTGACTTTGTGTCTATTTCATTTCTCCCACTTGGAAACCAAGCCCTGTAGTAGGTCTTGTTTCATCTCTCTGTGCATGTGTGTTTGGGGGGGGGGGGGGGGATGGCGTATCCACCTCTTTGTTTTGATTGTGCTTATAGAATCGATACAGAGTATAGGCAAGTATATAGTTGCTATTAGAACTTAAAAAAAAAATAGATGAGGCCGACCTTTAAAGATATGAGCTTTTAAGTTTGATTTTTTATTTTTTATTTTTTTTAAAACTCAACTTTTATTTAAAGGATTCAGGATCGAGTTTGTAAGTTCTGTTTTAAAAAAATAAAAAAATTAAAATAAAATTAAGCACTATAAATTAATTGTAATATTTTAAAATTTTAAAAAAATAAAAATACTCATAATCTTTTAAAAATTAAACAACACACATTTAGAAGTTTAGTAAGAAAATTTAAATCTTAGTTTAAAAAAGTTTATTTTTTATAGCTACACAAACATAATAATTATGAAAAAATAAAAAATATTAAAGATTTTATACTGTACACTAATATTTATTAAATTATATTAAATCAATTTTAGAATAAATTAAAATTAATAATAATATAATGTGTCTAGAATTAAGGTTTCAGGCGAGCAGGTTTTTTTTGGTTTTAAACACGTGTTCCACAAAAAAAATTAATAATAATATAATAGGAGTTGAAGAGTTGTCTGAGCCCAAATTTTTTTTACAAGAGTTATCAAGCCATGCTCTCAAGTTTAATTATTTTAAAAAAATTAATTTTTAAAATCCAACCCTTTATTTAAATAAAATTTTTAAGCCTAATTCTTCAAGCTCCATCTTCATTTTCAACTTTAATTACTATTCATATAATGCAAGTGTTAGGAATGAGAAATTCCTTTACAACAGGCTCCGGTACGCATTCCTATCAATTTCGACGTTGGTCTTGGTGGCAGATACGGCAAAGGAAAAAAAAGGTGGTGGAATATGGTGCTAGTTACGATGCTGGAGGGAAGTAATGATGCTTTATGGAAGCGAAAGCAAAGCAGTAAGCATTAGAGGCTATTGTATGTGCTAGGGGAGAGCATAGTGCCGAGTATGGAGACCAAGGTAGAGCAAGAAGTAAGGGAGAGTAAAATCAAATCAAAATTAAAAATTAAATTAAAATTTGATTTGATTTTTTTATTTTAAATATTTTGGTTGATCGATTCGATTCGATTAATAAAATTTAAAATTGAATAGACCGAACCGACCGAATTACATATAATTTATTAATTTATAAATTATATTTAATTCATAAATTATTTTATTTTTATTTTTTATTTTAATAAAGAATAAAAAATAATAACATCACTTGAAACCCCATTTCAATCAGTCATTTTTATTAGTAGGTGTTGTGACTGGATTATGGGGTTATTATTTGATCATCGGTGTTTATTTGTGGTTGTTTATTTGATTATCCATGCCTTTATAATATTTGGACTTTATGTCATATGAGTGTAATTAGAATTGGCTTATATTAAAAAAATGAATAGAAAAAAAGGCCCAATTTTATAGTGTTGTTTGTTTTAATATTTAAAAAATGAGCCCAATTTTAATAGCTAAATATGAAATAGAAAAATTGAATTAACCGACCAAATCGAATTATCAAATTTCGGTTTGGTTGACTTATTCGGTTCAATTCGATTTTTATTTTTAGTATTATTCGATCGATCGGTTTTGCATATTTTGAGACCGAACCCACCGATGCCCACCCCTAACAAAAAGTGGTGGAGGCTACAGTGCTTGGTGGGGAACACGATGTGGGTTGCGGAGGTGGCACAGACGAATTTGGATGCTGGTGTAAGATGGAAGGAGAGAGAGGGAGAGTGACAAAAACTTAGATGGGCCTCATTGTAAGCTAAAGAAATGGACATTAATTTTTATGCGAGGGGGTGAAATTACCGTTAACATAAAATGAATTGTAATCAAGAATTTAAAATTTAACATAAACAAATTTATTAATTCATCATTTATCAAATTGCAGTGATATAATACTCATCATGTTCCTACTTCCTAGATCTAAACATATAATAAAATAGTGTGTAGTTGATATTCCAAGACTTACATAAGAGACTAAAACCTTTAATAAGATCATTTAAGAAAACTAATCTTAAAATTCACAAAAATTGTGTATTGATTGATTAATCTTAAAATCATGATCATTCAAAAATCTTTAAACGGTAATATTTTCAAATGCTTACGTCTTTTATTGGCATTATTTTATTACTCTTTTGGTCCCAAACTTTAGTTTTACGGGTGATTCTTTCAGGTTTTACGTATATGAAAACAAAACCTAACATTCGTCAATCAGCAAGTTATTATTATTATTTTTTAAAAAAAGGCTGTCTTTGAATTTGTCTAAAAGAAAACCCGTAAATGTGGTCTTCAAATGACCTCAATGGTCTAACGATTAGCATGATAATAGGAATCAGTATTATCAAGTATCTATTGCTCTCGCCTACTTTGTTTCTAGTTTCTCTTAGATTGTAGCCACAGTGATATCTCAGAGAACAAAATCGCGTTGATGGTGATATCTCAATTTCATTCATTCTCTTCAATGTCTTCACGTCCACCTTTTGCGAGATTAACAAGGCACCTTGTTCACGGGACCACGCGCTTTAGCCTTCGCCACCGCCTCCTTCGTTTTCCTCATAACTACAAATTTTCATTCTTTTTTCTTTTTACTGTTCCCATCTTGCTCTCGCTCTATGCTTCGCCTCCTTCCTCAACCTTCAACCTCTCTCTCTCTCTCTGTCTCTCTCTCAATGAAGAACAAGAAGCGTGCAACTCACCAATGACAAAGCTACCCTCGTCTCTTGTTCCTATACCCTTCATCTTGGTCTCCATCATCATCTTCTTCCTTTCTCTGCTCTCTCCAACCGCCGTCACTAGCCTCGGCTCTGCCTCCACCGCTGCCGTAGTCTACGGAACTGGCACCTTCTGCGGCATTGTTGCTGGCGAACCCACTCAGAGAATCCTATGCTATCAAAATGATCAGACTCTCCCAGTCCTTCCCAATTTCTCCTTCCAAGCCGTCTCCGGTGGCCGGAGCTTCTTCTGCGGTCTCCTCTCCGGTGGGCTCACCCTCCTTTGTTGGGACACTGCAGATTCATACATTCCCTTTCAGCCGAGACGCTTATATTACAGCGCCACCGTCTCATTGACTGATCTAACAGTTGGAGATACTCAGGTTTGTGCCAGGGAGTTGAACACTGGGACAGTGAGATGCTGGAGAGGAAAAGACGGAAATGGACATGAGTTTCCTTCTCCTAATGAGGACCTTAATTTTCGTGGGGTTACGTCTGGATGTGGGTTTACTTGCGGGATTCTGAAGGGAAACAACAGTGTTCATTGTTGGGGTCAGAGAGAGAGTATTAGAAATGAGATCCAGAGACAGTTTAGGAATCTCTCGATGTCAAGCCTAGTTGCAGGAGAATCCCATGTTTGTGGTTTGACCACCGATGGAGTTTTGGTCTGTAAAGGAAGCTATAACACTGGTCAATTGAACGTTCCTTTCAGTTCACCTTCAGAATTCTCGAGTCTTGCCTTAGGAGGGAACTTCACTTGTGCTATCAGAAGCAGGAATGGTCTTGTTATGTGCTGGGGAGGAATCAACAGGTCTGAGATCGAGAGTGACATGATCCAAAATGTTTCTTTCGAGTCAATTATTGCTGGTTTGGATTATGTTTGTGGGTTAATGACAGGGAATTTGTCTGTGATCTGCTGGGGACCGGGTTGGTCTAGAAGAAGGCTTAATAACTCTCACAGAGCAGATCTTCTTCTTCCTCTGGGAATGATAATCCCAGGTCCATGCGTTAAGGATTCTTGTAGCTCTTGTGGTACATATCCTAACTCCGAGGTTCTCTGTTATGGTTCTGGAAGAATATGTTATTCCTGCCAAACAGAGAATCCAATCGCAGTGCCATTACCAATCCCGCCCCAACCATCGCCATCTTCACCAAATTCCTCAGCCCCACCTGCTGGAATAAGAAACACAAGAGAAAGGTTAATATTTTTGGTTCTTGGATCAGCCGGTGCTTTTGTGGGTCTCTGCTCAGTCCTTTTCTGCTTGTGGTTTGGAACATGTCGTTTATTATTGCAGAGAAAGTCTGAACATTTAGCTCCAGCCACAACCACCGAAGAAGCCGATGTAGATATTACTTTTCCCGCTGGTTCAACCACAGACACAACCATAAGATCATTCTCCAGCAAACGACAGAATTCACGGACATTAAGGAGCTACAGAAGAAGTGGGTCATCCTCCATTGTAGACAAGATGGAGACCTTCACGTTATCAGAGCTCGCAGCAACCACAAACAACTTCTCCGTGGACAACAAAATAGGCTCCGGAAGCTTCGGCGTTGTGTACAGAGGCAAGCTAGAAGATGGACGGGAAGTAGCCATCAAGCGAGGAGAAACCTGCAGGAGAAAGAAGAAATTCCAAGAAAAAGAAAGCGCATTCGATTCTGAAGTGGCTTTATTATCTAGGCTTCATCACAAACACCTGGTGGGCCTCATTGGTTTCTGCGAGGAAAACGACGAGAGACTCTTGGTCTACGAATACATGACCAACGGATCACTCCACGATCACTTACACAACAAGCACAACACTGAAAGAGCCAGCAGTGTCATAAATTCATGGCAAATGAGGATCAAAATTGCACTAGACGCTGCCAGAGGGATCGAATATCTTCACAACTACGCAGTGCCCTCGATAATTCACAGGGACATCAAGTCATCAAACATACTGTTAGACTCAAATTGGAACGCCAGAGTCTCCGATTTCGGATTATCATTGATGGGCGAGCAAGAACATAAATCGACAAAAGCTGTAGGAACAGTAGGGTACATAGATCCAGAGTACTACGTGATGAACGTTTTGACTACAAAAAGTGATGTTTATGGATTAGGGGTGGTTATGTTGGAGCTTTTGACGGGTAAAAGAGCAGTGTTCAGAGACGAAGATGGAGGGTCAAGTCCTGTCGGTGTGGTGGAGTACGCAGGACCGAGGATCGGAGGAGGAGAGTTATGGAGCGTGCTGGATTACAGAGTCGGAGAACCGGAGGTGAACGAAGTAGAAGGTTTGGAGATAATGGCGTATAGTGCGATGCACTGTGTGAATTTGGAGGCGAAGGAGAGACCGAGTGTGAGTGATGTAGTGGCGAACCTGGAGAGAGCTTTGGCTGTCGTTCAAGGAAGCCCTGGTAGTGGCTCCATTACAGCATTCTCTTCCTCTGCTCCATTCGATGAACGCAAGACAACAACATGGCGGGACGATGAAATCTGAAGTGTCCGTGTGTTTTATTTCATGGTTGGTTCGTCACCGTTTTGGAGTGAAGTAATTAATGCATTTATGACAACATTCTTTCATTTTTCCCACTAAGTTTGGGTTCATTTTTTCCCCCATAATCTGCTTTCTTTCACCAGTTTTTTCTTGGGTTATCAGTTTGTGTAATTATTTGCTTGAATCCGAAATGTAAATAATTTGAGGGGATAAATAAGAAAAAATTTAAAAATTTTACGCACTAATGTATCAGCCCTGAATTCAAACCTAGGATTTCTTAAAAAAAAAAATAAAAGAAGAAAATGATATTGCTGCTAGGATAACTAACTATTAACAAATAAGAACAATTTCAGTATAGAGTTTATCCATATCAAGGTAAAATTAGAGGATAATTTTTATATATAACTCTGTACGAGCTTGAATTTAAGTTGAATATACATATTGAATGAAAATTTAGAAAAGTTGACATTATTTCTTTTCTTGACAAAAATTTGAACTCAGACTAATTTAAAAGTTGTCGAGTCCCTTTTATTTGACTAGATCATAATTAAGTTTATGAACTGTAAACATATGCTTGATTGAATTTTGTGAAACCGTAATCATACTTAAATTAATTATTATCATTGAAAAAAACTTAAGCTAAAATTTTGATAGTATAAATTTTGCAATATAAATTTGTTATATTGCAAAATTATTTAAAATAATATTTATATTCTTAAAATTATTAAAAATATATAAATTTATACTTTTAATTTTCTTTATAATTAATAATTATAATAAATTATTGTATAAAAATTCAAATGATAATAATTAGACACAGGGTAAAATTAGAAAAAAGAATTAATTATTTTAACTTAATCTTCTATTAGAAACTAGAAAAAATATTTCAAATTTTGTTTTATATTAAAGGAAAATTAAAACGAAGGACATGGAGAAAATAATATTTATCAGAATGGATTGTAAAAATAGTTATTATTTAAATGGATCAAATATCAAAATATAAATTTAAAAATATTATATTGCCTCTAAATATATTTCCTACATTTTTTCCTAACTACATTTCACACATTGTATTTCATAGTTCTTGAAAAAAAAAAACACTTTATTTGAGAGAAAGTTGCAAAATAACATATTTGAATAAAAAACATAACAGATTCAGACTCAACCTGTCATTTTAATTAAGGCCAAAATTAAAATAAATAAATAATGGTAATGATGGATCAACAGCACATTGAGGCACGTTAAATCAATGCCATTTTCAACGGAAGTTATCTGGCTTACATGGCTGCCCAAAACACGTGGTGCTGTGTTCTGTCCGCATATAAAAATGCATACTGGCAAAGATTTTTTTTTTTTGTATATATTATTTTGTTATTTTTTTAGCTAAGGCGATTTATACATGTTTTTTTTTAATAAAATCCAAAACTGTCATTTAAAGTTGATCTTAACTTGATATGTGTGTGTGTGAGATAAATTCTTACATGTCTTGTTAGATGATTGTGAATGTAATTTTATTTTGTTATTGATGATGATGGAAAGAAAAAAAAAACAACAAAAGAAATTTAAAAAATAAAGTTATTAAAAATAAGAACACATAAGATTTTATTTAATTCAATTAATATTAGTATGACATATTTTTATTTGACAGATCTTGGATGACATAATACATTTAGTCTATGCAAAAATTTCTTTATACATATGTACACCTACAAACGTATGTATATAAGTTTACATAGAAGGTTGAAACTTGAAAAGCAATTTGTATAATAATGATTTATTAAAAAAAATAAATGACTTGATATTAATCGAAGGATGGATAGGATTAATAAAATTACTTGTAAAACACTCTTAAGAAACTGATGAAATTGGAATTGAAATCTGTGACATTTGTTTGTTTTCACCAATAAACTAACTAACCTGTGACTAATTTTTATTAATTTCCATTTAATTATGATGTGGAACACTGGCAAGCCAACCTGTTTGAATTAAGCACTGCCCGTGACTGGTCGGCTTGGGCCCATGTTTATTAGCAATAATCATCTGCGTGTCAATGAACATAGAAAAAGACATATTTGACGATTGTCTCTAAGAGTTTTGACACTTTCTGAGTTTAGCGATTAGAAATTTTTAGAGATTATATGTAAAAAAAAAAAAACTAATAGACATTAATAATACGACTGATTTCTTATACTCAATCCAATTCAACACACTTGTTTGTTTCCATTAAAATATAAAATAGTTGTAAAAGAATTTAAGTCATCTTCAACGATTTAGGTCATTTAATGGAAAATAAATACAATATATTATTATACGAAAATGACTTAATGCTCTTTCTGGTTACCTTTTTTTAAAAAATAAAGGTTCTGTCTAGATAAGACATGCAAATAGGAGTATTGTTCTCTGGCCAAAAAAAAAAAAAGGAGAATTGTTAACCACCACTCTGGATATTAGTGAGAGGCAAATTTATTGAGAATTAAATTTAATTATACTTATGTGTAAATTAATGTACATAAAAAATTCTACTTATCAAAAGGAGAAGAGTGGGTAATAATTATGGCCACGGCAGAAACGGACAGGAACTTGCCTTCAATGAAAGCAGCTGTGTCTCATCAATTGTTGGCTATCAATTTTGTTACTCATTCCGTTGTGACATATTAGTATTAAAATAATCTTGTAGTTAATTAAAGCCTCAAGTTTCTACCAAATAAAACTTTTTAACGAATGCCAATCAACTAACAACTTCTATTCTATTTTTATTTCCCCAGATATATAAGTTACTTTTTTTTATAAAAAATATTATTTCATGTCACGATCAGGTTTGAGAAGGTGATACTAATATTATAATTATAATGTACTATTTTTTATTAATTTATAAAATTAGTTTCAATATTTTATCATAACTAAATTTATTAGCTATGTTTAAAAATTTAAAAAGTTTCCTACTTTGTTTATAATAAATACATCTTTAAAAATATTCATACTTTTCTACCTTAACATTGAATAGGGATAAAATGAAAAAATTGTGATAAATACACGGTGCAGACGTGCAGTGCCTCATTAAAAGGGCCACAAAACCCTTCCTCCAACTGCATTCATTACAAATAGGATTGTAAGGACCATAACACACAGGAAGAATTGTTTTTCATCATAATTTTAAGGCATGCACCCTTTAGTTTTAGGAAAAATTACAGATTGATTCGGTTGAGTAAACTTATTTATAAATAAGTTTTATAAAATTCAGAGACTACAACTAAATTCCTTAAAATTTGAGTATAATTTAAAATTAGTATAAAAAGACAATAATGCTTAAGCATATATACTTTACATCAGTTAAATAAGTTAGAATTATTTTATTAGTAATTTATAATTATAACTTCAATTTTTTATAACTATAATTTCATATATTCAATAATTAAACTGATCAGTTTAATTATTGAACATGTGGTTTTACAGTTGTAAAAAATTAAAGTTATAATTATATATTACTGATGAAGTAATTGCAAACAATTAATATTAAACTTTATTAGTAACACATGATTATTTAACTATTGGATATGTAAAGTCAAAATTAAAATTATAGCTATAGATTACTTATAAAATAGTTATAAATTAGTTATTTTATTGATATTAATATATATTATATGGGGGTATTATTATCTCTGTAGTGTAGTTTTCATATTTTACGAGATTTATTTATGAATAAGTTTGTTTCACATAACTTATACGTAAATTTTTCATAGTTTTATTTATAAGGCAACAAGAGAATAATTTTTTTTAACTATATTTATAAATTACATCATTAATTTTTTATCAAAATATTTTCCTTTACCCTTCATTAAATATTAGTGAAAAATTATATTATTAAGAATAAAGTTAAAAACTTATTAAATTTTTGGACAGATATGATGAGTTTTAAGGTTTTATTTTTTTCATAAAATATGTTAAAAGTGAAGTATAAATGAGAGTACAAAAATATTATTAACTTTTTATCATAATTTTTTCCTTTTACCTTTTATAAAATATTACTGAGAGAGAGTATATAATAAAATATGTATACAAGTATTTAGACGATGTGGAAGAACTTATTAATAAATTTTTAGAAAGAATGGATAAATTTTAAAGTTTTTTAATTATATTTAAATATATTAAAAGTGAGATATAAATATGATTAGTTATTTAGCGTAACTTTTTCATTTTTTGGTTTTAACTTTGAAGAATGAGACGCGTTGTCCTTATATAAAACACTCTTTCTTGGAAGAAACATTGCCAAATGTGTAAAACTCATTTGTTGAATACTATACCTGCATCGAAACTTGAATCAATGTCTATTTAATCCAGGATCGTATAGCAAGTGTTTTCCGGCAGACATGGGAGCCACTTGTTTGTTTGGGTGTTTCTGACTTTTGAAGGTCTTGGTCTACTAATATTGGTAGTAATTTAATACAGTTAGTCCCATTGCAATATTCCTTTTATCAGTTGTCTAAATGCACATTCATTTTTAACTTTCCATCGTGCCTTTAATTTATTTTATCATGTCTTGTCTCCATAATTCTCTCTCTTATTTCCTAATATCATAGTAAAGATATAGGGTACAAGTACCATTAAAATAATAATAATTCATATTCTCTTAGATTTTTTTAAATGGCCGTACATAAATAAAATAATTTTTTTCTAGAGTGACGATTAAAAAGGAGGGAGTGGGGGGAAAGGCCAGAGTATATATAGGCAGAAATAATCACCAGACTTTACTTAAATGATAGAATCTTCACGACGGTTGAGATGATGAGAGGACATATTGGAGGAATGATGAATATGGTAATTAGAGAGCATAAATTACAGCATAAACAGCGAAAATACCCTGCATAATGTATAATTAAAGCACGAGAAACGTCGAAGTTGAAATTAATTAAGCTGGGATTGAATGGATGAATGATTAGTAGTAGAAGCCAGCAGAGTCAGAATCAACAAATTCAAAGCCCATGAGAAGCCTGACGGAGGGGTAAAGTTGACCTTTCCGATTGTACAAAGGAACGGCTCGAATGCCAGTTTTGATGAGAGAGACGGGAAGACAAGTTTGGCCTCCAAAGTCGTGTTTGCCTGACGTGTCAAACTCCATCACCTCGACTCGAAGAATTGCCAATTCTGGAACTCTTAATTGGAACTTAAATCTCTCGTTCCAAACAGGCACCCACTGGTCTTCCACCGCCTTCGTCTTCTTCATTTCTGTTGAATCCCCGGCGACTCCACTAATGCCTACCTGCACTTTCATTATTTCATTCATCCACTTCTCTGTTAATCAACATCATCATGATGAAATAAAACTTAGCCTTCATTTTGGAAAACAAATCAATGAAAAAGATACATTTTTGCCTCCAGAATATTGTTTAAGTAATACCTAATACTTTAAATTATTAGTTGAAGTGATCTTGCCCTTAAAGTAATTAAAATGGAGCATTTTTGCTCTTGCTGTCAAATTTTCCACTTTAATCATTAGAAAATATTAGTTGGGACTCTAATATTGACTGTTAGGACATTTAACAGTAAAACTAAGGATAAAATCTTCTGTTTTAATTATTTCAATGACAAAATTGCTTTGCCCAATAATTTAAAATATTGTGTACTCATCGAATAATACGTCAAGGGCACAAATGCACCATTATTCAATGAAAAATGTATCATGTATTGTTGACATCAATTTATATACTCCCTCCTGTCCTTGTTATGAGGAACTTTAAAAAAAAAAAAAAGATTGATGACTCTTGATATGAAGTATTTGGTAAGGTATTAATTGTATTTTTTAATATTACTCTTATTTAAACTAATTAATTATGAGAGATACTAAAATTTCAATTTTTTTATTTAAATAAAGGTAAAATTAAAAATTTATTCTTTTTTCAATTAAGGTTAATTATGACCTAATAACCTCTCATTGATTTCGATGAGGTGGTTAAAGATGCCTTATATTACTTTAATTTTAAATTATAAAATATTTTTAGATAAAATCCCATGTGTCAATATACTTAACAATCTTACGTAATTAATAAAAAAATTTTACATACTAATAAATCTCATTAAATATACATGACAATCTTATTTTTTTAAAAAAAATATAAATTTTAAAAAATAGCCTTCATGTAATAATATTAAATTTACACTTAATCAATATTAAACAGTGAGAGAATCAATAATATTACAATAAACCTATTTAATAAAAACTTAATATTTTTAAAATATTTTATATTTTGAGATGTCTAATCTTTTTCAAAAAATGTATAATTTGAAATGGAATGAATAATAAGGAATGGGAAGCATACACACAAGAATCGAGAATGTCCATCCTATTACCTTTACAAAGAAATCTGGAGGTGAATAGAAATCGAAGTGTGTTCCTCCAAAATCTGAACGCCACCCATCTCCCATGTACACCGTAACCTGCTTTGCATGTTAACTCCGATCGTTAAATAATTAATTCCTCTTCATTTTTTTAACTATTTTCTTTAATTAAATTGAGATTCTCGTTAAATATTTCTGTCATCGTTTTCAGTCATATTCTTAATTAACATTCTTCGAAAACAAAAAACAAAATGAATCTCATGTTAGAATGATATTGTGATTATTTAACCCCCGTTATTTCTGCTTAATTAATAAAATTTTTTGGTATAGATTATAATATGTTGATGATTGAGGGCTCACCAGCAGGTGCTGTTTTATAGGGTCATCAGCTTGGAAAGGATAAAAAACATCATCAGGGTCCTCCAAGAGGATGTCTGGTTTTTTAACATAGCCGCAGCTGCCATATGCTCTGAACATCCCTTCCATGATCCATAGATACTTCCCATGTCCCTATAATTCATCATTTTCGCCAAATTATTAAACACTTCCATGTAATCATACACTTGGAAATTGGTAAATTACACACAACCTGTTTACTTTATTCTTTGTAAGGTACAAACAATATTCATTACGTAGCATATAGGCAGTGCTATATTGAAGTCAATGGGGGCAAATGCATCTCTTAGGCTTGGGGAAAATTATAAAAAAAATCCATGTATTTTAACATTTTGCATTCCTTAACACAACTTCAAAAATTTTGGGGTTTAAAAATTTTTGAATTATTTTTAAATTATTAATTTAAAAACTATTGTACCTCATAATTTAGGATTCTGGCACCGCCACTACTTATAAGCTAATCTCTTGGAATAAACGAAAATAAACCAATTAGGTTTACTTCATGGGCATGCTAGTAATATAAAATTATATATACACAGGGGGTGGGGGAGATATTATATAATTCTTTTCAAGTACATACGCCACTAATATATTTCAAAATTTTAATTCTTAATATTATGGTGGGCTATCTTCTAATTTTTTTTTTGTAATACCCCAATTTTTCAATTGATTTTTTGGTTACTGGATTTTATATAAAATGAAAGACATTTTCATATTTTACAGTGATGAAGTGGTGCGGTTTTGTATTATTTTTTCTTTTTACAAATTTTAAAGTAAACAATGCAAAAATTGTGCATTTTTATTTATTTTCAATAAAAAATCATTTATAAATCTAAAATTGCACTGTTTATCATTGTAAGATATCAAAAAGTCTCTAATTTTGTGTAAAATTGTTATGGTGATTAAAAAAAAAAAAGGAAAACCACTATTGAAAGGTTAAAGTATTATAGCATTAGGGAAATGAGGCATTATATAGCGGGGCATTAAAGGATCACAGCCCAAAAAAATTTCATTGATAAGAATAACAAATGTATGAAAATGAATATAGTATACGTTTGGTTTTTAATTTATATATAAAATTTATTTAAAAGGAGCAACTATTTTGAATGGGACGTTTGGGAGAAATTCAAACAGCCCTTGTAGAACTGGCAATGAGATGAAAGGAAAAAGTCAAACCTGCATATTGAATGCCACCATTTGAGCTCCATGGGACCATCCAATCATAGGGTTATAATTAGATGAGTCCAGACGCGTGCCTTTAGGGTATATCCTCAACAAATTGTTTTGGGTAAATCTACACTACAAAACATTTTTCATTGGCTACTAATTAATATCATGATAATCCGAAGTACTAATTAAATCGATGGTACTTAATTACCTGACGAGATCTTTTCCATAAGTATTGGCAATATCTTCAAGTTCTTGCTCACTCAAGCTAACACGTCTGACTCGACTTTGACCGGTAAGCAGCCAATGTTCCACAGAACCCTTGGGCTTTCCAGCATGAATGGCTATCAGATTCCTGTATTCTGTAACATCCTCATCAAATTCTAATTCGTCAATACCCTGACACAAACAAATCAGGAAAAAGTGAGTCACGCTTTATATTAATTAATTTAATTTTGTGTTTTGATCTTGTTAAGACAATAAATAACAAGCTTTAAAAACTTTTCTCATAGTTTTGCAATCTCACTATATTCTCATGTAAAGTTCGGAATTCATATTATCTATCAAAATACACCATCATATAGAACCCATACCTATATATACATGATAACAAAAGATCAAATCATATTACAGTGGATTTCAAGTGAACTAATACTTGGTAGCTAAAACAAATTAATAAAACTCTTCTGGATATACATTGCCATTAATAAGGAACGGCTCGTTCATTAAGGAATCAAGTTTATAAGTCTGATGTCTTAAATTAATCATGTTTCTTAAACACTATTCCCATTAATATAGGACTTGGGGGTTGAGTTTGAAGGTCTGCACAATTGTTTTATTTGTTAAATCTTAATTTATAATTATACTAATACACAATGTAATAAAATGTGTTATTTTTATGGATAAGATTTATGTATTTAACCTTACATGTATATTTAATATTCTTTATTCAATCAAATCAAGATAAGTGAATTTTAATATATTATTAAATTAATAACATGATTTTATTATTGAATAAACAATCTATAGAATATTTATATGTCTTAATTTAATTGAAACAAGCAACTTAAATATATATATATATAGCCAAGTATATAAGTTTTTTCTTTTTTTATAGATTAATTCAAGAATCAAAATAAAACATAACATTTTTAACCATGCTATTTTGCAATATCAACAATTTCAACTGCACATTGACAGAAAAAGTTACATGGCCTAAACGAGCCCGAATCCATTTTAAAAAGGATGATAAGGTTCAGGCTAAAGTACTTCTATGTAAAAATCTTTCATTTTTTAAGTTTGACCTGAAAAAATATAAGGCCTAAACAAGTAGTATAAAGAACCTAACCCGTATTAACAGATCCACTTCTAATAAACTGTTGATCGTTCAGTAAAATTAATCTGCCTCACCCTTCTATCAGGATGCTCTGGTGGTTTTGTAGAAATCATGATTTTTCCCTTGAGAGATTCGGGAGATGGAAACTGCGTCTGTTCCGTATTTCTTGAATCCGGGCAGTACAACATCTGTCCAAAAATTCCTCTAACCATCTGCAATATTATACATGGAATTCATATCCCCTATTTACATATATATATATATATATATCGCATTCAGAATGGCCTAAATGATCAATGTATCGATCAATGCAACGAAAATCTTTACAAACCTGGGCCACTTTGGCTTGAAGACGTGAATTTAAATGGTCTTCAAAAGTTATGATCACAGGATAATCAGAAGCTTCGAATGCATGTTCCTTGATAGCTTCCAAGCAATCTCTTAGTTCCACTGGAGCTGTCAAAGTCCTACAGCATACGTGTATAGATGCATACATAAGAATGTGCGGATATATGTGAATGAAGGTTACTTTATTAGCATATATATACCCTCCATGACGAACTTCTGCACCGTCGCCTCGTGAATTTGGCCACAAATCGAGCTCAATGACTTTAACCCCGTTCTTCAAAGCATCAATGATGGGTTCGGTGCTGCTATCACTGCTAATTTGATTGCCTGTTAAGTACGAGTTATGTCCTGTGAAAATGAAATAATGAGCCAATGGAGCATTCATGTCCTGCTCGACCTGCGAAAATACCAACCATGCATACAATAATCTTTTTTATCATACTCAAATTAAATAATAAAATCAACAAATAATCATATGAAACAAACAGTTTTGTAGATACAAATTTCTTTTTTTGATAAAAAATCAATAATGACATTGAGAAACAAGAGTTTACAATACATGGTTAGGGAGAAAGTATGAAGGACAAGGCTGTAAGGAAAAGATAAAGTGCATGAGAAATATTAGACCCGACTGAGCGTAGTAGAGTAGCTAGATTGGTGATGTCTTGCACCAAAAGATGGAACAAGTAATGTTCTCGTAATAACCCTTGAAAAAGCTTCTTGTTAAAGCATTGGAAGTAGATGCAACTCCACTAAGAGGTGATGTTATGAAGATATGCCTTGGTCCATGATCAAATAGTCCGAATGCAAAGGAAGTTGAAACATTTAAATTTTTTAGTGTCATTAAAGATGAGGACACAACCATATTGGCCTTTGAATTATGGTGTCTGTTTAAATTTAGGAGACAAGTAATTTTTAGATTATCTAGAAATTTTATGGAAAACCTAAACTTTTTTGTATTTTATTTGGCGACCATCATAAACAGAATAAATACTGTTCAGTGATTTTCAAATCTGATGAAGATTTTTGTGACAATCAAAATAGTCATATTTTTTTTATATTTTGATTATTTTAAAATATTAAACGAATATTCTAAAAATTTCTTGACGATGTTGTTGTTTTTTTTTTTTTCAAATGGGCACCATTAGGCATTGGCTAAATGCATTTGGCAACCTTAGGCATCGGCTAAGCTAGGTTGGGTTTCTCTGCGCATGACCCGTAGTGAACACTATTCAAAAACTAGAAGCCGCGTGTTTATTTTTTAAAAACGAGCATTATTCCTCGTACTAAAAATAAGTTAGAGAATTAAAATTCACATAAAGTATAGACAAATAAAACATTAAACTTGAATTATAAATTCAGATCCTAAAAATTTACTTATATTAATAAATAGCTATTAAAGATATATGATTAAATAATTAAAATATAAAATGCAACCATTATTTGATTTATATTTATTTTAAATTAAATTATTGAAATTAAATCAATTTATATTGATATATTATCATATTTGATATAGAAATTTTAAAATAGGTTTTTTTATTTTTCTTTGTTTTCATTTTTATTAATATTAGTTTTTGTTTTTTGAATTTTATTTTTCTTTGAATAAGTTATACCACTTCTGTAAATTTAGTTTTACACAATATATATTTAACTCGCTTAATTTAATAAAAAATTAAGAACTTCAATAAGTTTAATTAAGTCACTTACAAGTTTAATCAAATTTACATTTAGTTTAAGTTTATGAGTCAATTGATATAATTTTGTAAGTTAAAAATATAAAAATAATAAAATTAAAAAATTAACTTGTGAGTTTAACAAAATTTGTATATAGTTTGAATTTATAGATAAGTTCATACAATTTATAAATTAAAAATGTAAAAAATTGAATTTGACAAAATGGAGAAGTAGATGAAATTGGAAATTACCCGACGCAAGGGGCCGTTATGGTCGCCCTCGCCCAAGAGGTAACGGAAGAAGGCATCAAGATGAAGGCCTCTTCTGTGTAAAAAGCTCAAATGCTTGACACTGTCGTATATACGCTGTGCTTCTTCCCTGGTGGCCTCCCTTTCACCTTGGTCGCACACCAAGAACTTGAGAAGTTCGTCCACACTCATCGTCCCGTTCGTCGAGTACTTGTTGAACGCTTTTCTCACGTCTTCTGGTGCCTCTCCCGCCTTTACCTTGAACCTCCTCCTGAAACAGAAGCACACTCTGAATTTCAATTCCCTCGTCTTCATCGTCGTCTCTCTCTCTCCTGACGAGCTTGCCATTTCTTTAATAATTTCCGATAATTATCCTCTCTCTCAATTTCTCTCAATTTCAGCATCTCGCTTCTTGTTTAAATATATGTATGTATTCATCGGAATGCCTTACGCACCAAGTGAGTATCTGTGCCATGTTCATAAGCAAGGAAGGCATGCCATTCCTTTCTAAAGCCTCTCTATTCAAGGAAGAGATTTCTTGATCCACGTGCTTGTTCCTCATCAACTTATATCCCACAAAACTTAAATTTGCTTCCTTTTTCATTTGGAAAGCGAAGGTTCAGCTTCGGCTTATTGAAGAATATCAATTTATTTTGTTTTATTTATATTTCGTAATACTCACATAATTTAAGTGCTTAAACTCATTATTTATATTAATCTCAAATTTTCATTTCTAATGTTTCCCCTTACAATATTACCCGCAATAAAATATTTATTATTAAATATGTAACTTCATTCTCTAACCGGCTCCAGGGGCAAATGGATAATCACTCCTTTAATATATTTAAATTTAAATTCTGAAGTAAAATAAGGGGAAAACTAATGAAACAGCATAATCATTACATACAGAAGAAAAATAAATACAAATAAATGTTCCATGGATACCCATGCCCACCTACGCAGTGGGACCTGTGAAGCGAGTTCATCCAGGGCAACTTACTACCTCCACTACAACCGTTTGACGAAATTCAGTTGACTTCACCCAGAAACAAAGAAAAGCAAAGTGATATGTACCAGGATTTATATTTTGCAATAGTCCAGCTTTCTTTTGCAACGGAACTGTGTGCAAGAACACGAAGAACACAGGTAAAAAGGGCATTATATGAACTCAAATCGCATAAGAAGCCTAACCGAGTTATACTTGTCGCCTTTGCGGTTAAAGAGGGGAACTGCGCGGATTCCTTGCTTCAGTTCAGAAACTGGTAAACATGTTTGGCCTGCAAAATCATCCTTCTCTGATACGTCATATTCATTAACTTCCACTCTGAGCAAAGCAAGTTCAGGAACCCTCAACGGGAACGTGAACTCTTCGTCCCATGCAGGTATCCAGATATCCTCCTTATCTTTGTCTTCTTCATTATATCATCGGCTGGCACTCCAGCTATACCAACCTGCATCTCACAGGTTGACTTGTAAGTTTTTGCCAAAGCAATACAGAATTATCTTTATCACAGATTTATATCTCTACCACTGGTTTTAAAGAGAATAAGTTTTGCTGGAACTGCCCAATTGAAATTGTGTATGCCATAATTGCCAGGACATAAAAGATGGACAACAAATAGTGGTTAGGAAGTTAACAAGTCAATAGTTGGAGATGCAGGGAAATCAGAGAAGGCAATGAAAAAAAAAAAAAATCTAACCCTGACATAAAAATCAGGTGGGGAATACAAGTCGAAGTGAGTTTGTTTGAAGTCCATCCGCCACCCGTCACCCATATATACTTTCACCTGTCAAGCAAGAGACTAAATTGAATACAATGTAACAGAGGTATTGTTGATTGTTTATATTTTGAATATCCCAAGTTCCCTAACCTTCAGAGTCTTCTTCACTGGCATATCAGCTTTAGGATTAAATATCTCATGATCTAGGCCATCCTTCATAAGAAGATCAGGCTTTTTGACATAACCACATCCTCCATTGGATCTGAACATTCCGTGCATCAACCAAAGATATTTGCCATATCCCTATCATTAAAGCAAATAAATTCTCACGTTACATTCACAAGAAGGAAAGTGTTAATTGTTTGACCAATAATGCGTGTAATCCCATCATATGCACCATAAAAGTGTTGCGGCAAAATTAGAGTGTAACCAGAAGAAATTTATAACACTGACATTGCAATTATGATAATCTGTGTCTACTTTAAGCTGCTTGTTGCATAACAAAAAAAAAATTAAGCTAAAAGAAAATTTCAATTTTAGCACATACAAACGCTACAAGTAGACCTCAAAATGGTTCCATAATTGCAAAGATTTGCAAGATAGGCAAAAGATAAAACATTAATCAAAGACCTGCATATTAAAGGCAACCATCTGAGCACCGTGCATCCAGCCAATCAGCGGCTTGTAGTTGGAGGAGTTAAATCGTGTACCCTTTGGGTACACCCTCAAGAAGTTCTTCTGGGTGAATCTATTAAAGGAAATGAAGCATTATAATCAGATCATAGAAGATCTGAGAAAAGCAGATCATTTGTGCATTTTTGATAAAATAGAAAATCTAAGTTTTGTGGAGAAACCTGGTAGCACCTTACAACATCAGTTCCATGAGACTCAGCGGCCTTCTCAAGAGCTTGTTCACTTAAACTGAGGCGTCTAACAGTGTCAATTTCAATTTTTAATGCCTCCTTTAGACCTCCTTTGGGTTTTCCCGCACAAAGAGCAATTAGACACTTATAACTTGAAACTGAAGAGCGCAACTCAGGGGCACAATCATCATTTGACTCATCATCTTCACTTTCAGTCACATCAGGATCATCCTGCCAAATTGTAAAAGTAAGTCTATAAGAGTCGAGAGATAGTAGGCTAGGTTAAATAGTGGCTTTAAACAATCAAATTTTGGCTCACAATTCCATCTTCATTCTGATCCTTTAAAACGTCAGAGGGCACCATCCTACCTTCATCTTCATCAAAAACCTTTGAATTCTGTGACCTATTCATACTCACATCAGGACCTGCAGCTTGGAGGTACTCTTTTGGGGGCTTTGTAGATATTATAATCTGATACTTCAGATCTTCAGGTGAAGGAAATGCTTTAAGATTTTCACTCCCCGGGCAAAACAGCATATCCCCAAATGTTTCAGTAATCATCTAAGAAGTAGCACCATCATAAATTATTATAATTTTGGCCAGCTCTAGTGATTGATTCCTCTCGAATGCAACAGATTACCTGAGCTACTTTGGCTTGAAGGTCTGGCGTAAGATGGTCTTCCAAAGTTATTATGACAGGGTAAGGAGATGCAACAAAAGCATGCTCTTTAATTGATTTTAAACATTTAATGAGCTCCACAGGAGTTGTCAACGTCCTACCAGATCAGATAAACGCAAATTAGGGGTGAAGAATGAAAACTACAAAATAAAAATGAAATGAAGCAGAGAGATACCTATTGACTCTAGAAAGACAAATGATACACTGATGTTTTTTATCAACCTAACAGCTAGTAGTAACAATTAATGTACATATTCTCGTACAAGATTAAATAAAATAAAAGGTCTAAATGATATCAATATATATAACCATGAATTCTCTGTAAGGGAGAGTATTACCATAGATTTCTAAATTTCTACAGTTACACTCATGACAATAAGAAAATTTCTCAAGAGGAAACAATTCTGTCCATCTCATTGACTAAGAGGTGTATCAGGTTAAAATCATTAGTTGGTAGTGACTCCTCAATAATACTGATAAACTGAAAGTCAACATTTAGTGGCACCTTGATCTTCATAATTAGACAAAAGAATCCTCGCATCTAGAAATTAGAAGATACATCATGAATATATGAAGTTCGGAATGTGTCAACCAAATGGCTTAAGTTATTTTGGTAAAATAAACTATCCTTAAGCATACTAATATAAAGAATTTAACATGGGTAGCAGAGGGAATATTAAGATAAAAGAAGTCTCACATCTAAAAATTCTAAATCTTGGGATTTCCCTAACCAAATGGCTTAAGCTATTTTGGTTAAATAGACTCTCTTAAACGTACTTAATATAAAAAATCTAACAGCTAGAACATCTGAATACCTTCCATGTAAAACATGCACATCATCTTTTGTGGAATTGGGCCATATATCAAGCTCCACCACTCTTACGCCTCTATTTAATGCCTTTATAATCGGCACATCACTACAATCGCTGCTGAGTTGATTGCCAGTGAGATAGGAGTTATGGCCTGTGTATATAAAATACTGGGATAAAGGAGCTGTCATGTCCTGGTGAACCTGGATGATGCCAAACAAAGGGATTAACAATTCTGATCCAAATAAATTCTCTTGCACAAGGTAACAAATACTTCACGCTTCTGCAAGAGTAACTTTGAGGTCGTCAAGTACCATGTCCATCAGATCAATTTTGGTATAAGGTAGGAAGCATATCTTGTTAATCCAATAATTAGTAATTTAACAATTAGTTAAATTCTATGGCGCATAATCTAAGAGTCAGATCTAGTTCTAAGTTTCCAAAAATGTAACAGAATGCAAGGAAGAAAAGAGGCGCCATAAAGAAACCACTTTAGCTGCCGCAACTTATAGAAAGTGAAAATGCCATAAAAGATAAAACAGAAATAAGACATGAAAAGAGAACAAAAGAGGACAGTTCCGCTTCCGTGCTAATGTTAAGCAGCACAAGGGATGTATCTATCAAAATTCAGAAGACGAACGGACACTGGAAAAAAAAAAAAGAAATTGCGGGGGCAAGTCAGCGGTATGTACTCTCACTCAGAAAGACGACAAGAAAATTATATCCATCATTTTCCATACTTGGGGGACAAACAGTTCAAAAGTGCCCTTGATTCAATTCATCCACAGACACATTAGTGAATTAAGAATCGTAATGGAGAGATAAAGAAGTAGGGACCTGAGATCCGATGGGGGGATTGAGCTCGGAAGAGAAGAGATAGTGATGGAAGTCATCGAAGGTGAGAGTATGCCTCACGAATTTGGTAATGTGGTGCCGCTTCTGCATCACCTGCTCCACAATCTGCCGCGCGTCGAGCTCACCACTCTCGCCCTGAACCTCCACGAGGAAGCGGAGGAGCTGCTCGGGGGTCATGTGGGCCCCACCTTCGGCGTATTTGTTAAAGAGCTCCCTGACTTCCTCGGGCGGCACCGCCTCCTCGACCTTGAACCGCCGTTGGAAGCACATGCAGACTCTGTAGCTCCCCATTAGATCAATATCGCCAGATAGAGACGACGGAGTCAAACAAAGAACGAACACAACCAGCCTTCGCGTATAGTCAAGATCACAGCGAAGAGGCAATGATAATACGAGGAGACTTAGGTGTGTATTCAAGTGGAAAGGGGTCCGACAGGGGATTAAGTTGAAGGGTCTTTACGGCTTGCCTTCCCACTAAATAAAGTATAGGACAGAAGCTGGTGGTGGCTTTAATGCAGCGTCTTAAGTGTCCTCCCCCTCTCTCTCATTGTATTAACTAAAAGCTGGGCTGGCGCGTCTTTCTTTATTCGTTATTACTATAATTTCGTCACTATTCCTGATATTTTTTATTGGGAAAACATATTATATATAATAGGAATATAAAATTTAATTATTTAAACAAAGTCTTTGGCCTTTTATTTGTAAAAAGAGTAAATTAATTAAATCAAAAAAATAAATACATATTAATTTTTAAATAAATCATCTCGAGAATATGTTGCTTAGATAAGTTATATATATATATCGTTAAAAAATATAAAATATTTTTGATTTTTTAAAATAAAATTATTATTTTATAAAAAATATTTTTATTAAATAAATTACGTTATATTCATTTTAAAATGACAGACTTTATTAAACAAAATAAATATAAAAAATAAAATTAATTTAAAAATACGTAATTGTTTTATTGAAGATAAAATTTAATTAAAAATATTTTATTTTTACTTAACAGAGACAGTATATATATAATATAGTATGTTAATGATGTAAAGGTACTAGCATAGTGCTCTGGTTCTATTTATGTTTCACCAAAATTTAAAAAATTTTAAAACTCATTAATTTATATAAAAATTTAATAATTTTTTAATTTTATTTATACAAATATACATATTTTTATAATATATTTTTTTTTAATTTTTAATGGAGGTCAAATAAAAAAATATGATAGAAATTTAATAAAATGATTTATAAATAAAATAAAAAAATACTCCCTCCTTATCTCATAAATAAAAATAGGAGGGGTATTTATGTAAAAGTGAGAAGTAGTGTAGTACACTCCCCGAACGTGATTATCTGCCCAAAAAAAAAAAGTTCATTTCTTGAACGTGATTATCTTTTTCCCAGCATAGCAATCCAGCATACTTTTTCAAATAGTCTTGTCCTTTTTTAAATACTACTTATTTTCATGCATTAATTGTTTGATCAGTCTTTTTTTAATTGATAACAATAAAATTTTATTTCAATAATATCACTATTATTATTATTGGATAAAAGTGCATTTTTTGTTAAAATATTTTTAAAAAAGCAACTAGTACTTTAAATGATTTGTTATAACATTTTTATTCTTAAAATAATTAAAATATAATATTTTTTATCCCAACAATAAATAATAAATGTTAATCATTAATATATTATGAAAAATGATAGTTTGACTATTTAACAGATATTTGTGATTATTTAACATTAAGATAAAACTGCTACATTTTAATTATCTTAAAAATAAAAATATTATATTAAATAGTTTAAAATGTTGGTGCTAGAGCTTTGCAAGAGCATGATTATCCTATCTAATCTAATCTAATTGAGACAAACTCAATTCGGTAAAAAAAATTAATTTACAGAACTGAAAAAATTATATTAACTCTTCGAGTTGGAACAAACAGAAGGTTAAGCTTTTAGTTCATTTGATAAGATTCAATCCTGTAAAATTATTTTCATATAATTTTAATTATTTTTAATATATTCACATTTTAATTTTTTATTTAACATAATTCTAATTTAGTTTGCTCTTAAATTATTATTTTAATTTAGATTAGACTATCAGGATTAAAATCCTGTAAATTAAGTGTGATTCTATTAATTTTTAAATTATAATTTAATCAATTGAATTACAGGTCGCTTAATCCGACGTTAAAATTCAGTCTTGTCCTGTTGGATGCTCCTCGGACAACTTTTTTTTTTTTTTTTTAAATGCAGCCATCATCATTTCAAGAGCCAACTCGTTGGGCGAGACGGGGAGAGCGAAGTGTGAACAGGATCCCGGGCCTCATTTGTGACAGAGACAGAGGCAGCCAGGCAGAGTGTGAACAGAACAGACAGAGCGTGAACGGCCAGTTTGCACGTTTTGAATTCCTCTCCTAATCTCCGTACATTCCTTTCCGAAAAAAAAAAAAAAAATCCTCTGCTTATATTAGTAGTACACCACGGCAGAATGACGGATTCCAGAATTTATAAAATGCAGCTTGCCAACTTTCTATATTTTTGGGCCAGCAAACTCGCCACCTTAATGATTATATTAACTATTTTATAAAAAATTACGCTATTCGTGAATACCTATAAATTATAATCCTGCAATGGTACCCATCTGGCTATGATAAGCATGTAATAAAAAAAAAAATTATATAATTTTCATGTTTTAATTTTATCACCAAGTGCTGCTCATAATCATAATCTTCATTAGCCTGCCATATAAAAGAATCATTATTTTAAAGTGATTTCTTATTCTTTTGATAAATACTAGAATTTGTTCTCTACAATACACAGAAAGATTTCATCCGGAACTGTGCAACTGGTCAGACAGGCTAAGCCAGCCCTTGTCCATTTGTAGCCCATTTCAGCACATTTAAAAACAGGTTGGGTGAGTTGCAAACAGGTCTGGTGGGTTGGTCAGCCCGTTTTGGGTAAAACAACCCCTAATTTGCAAAAACAAAAAAAATATATTTTAAAGTTCCTATAATTCTATTTGAAAATAATTCAAATATTACCATCATTGAAGGAAATAAACTCTAATATTAGCAATTACATATTACAATCATCCAAGGCTCCAAACATTAACAATCTTCAAAACACAATAGGAATCAAATCAAAGCAACCACATGAATTGACAAATAATCTTACCACAAGACACGAGCAACAATCAAACACAAATTGCCTTAAAACAATCAATCACATGTTTAATCTTACATTGGATCATTATCATCGTCTTTAGAATTACTAGAGATAGTTGAACGTTGAGCCCCTGATTCTTCCTCTACAAAACAAATTAAAAAAATAATATTCATAAATATTTGAACAATGTGAGATAATATAAAATGTGATTCTTCCTCTACAAAACAAATTAAAAAAATAATATTCATAATATTTGAACAATGTGAGATAATATAAAGTAAAAATGTTAATGAAAGTATCAACAACAAGGTCGTTAGACTCGTCAAAATTATCAACATTAAGCTTTTTCAAGTTGAAAGTTGGTTGAGAAAGCCAACTTTGGACATGAATAAATGCCTCAACCATATTTACAGACAGGGAACTCTTAAAAGTATGTAGTGCTCAACCTCCCATATTAAAGGCAGATTCTAAAGACACGGTAAAGATAGGCGAAGCCAACACATCACTTGCAATCAAACTCAAGACTTTATACTTGAAAGTATTCACTTTTCACCAAGCTAAAATATCAAATTTTGGATCAGGAGAAGCAACTAACTCAACGTGAAGATATTCATCCACCTTTGAATTTTTTTCCTCTTGGTATTCAGTGCTTGCAATTGTATAGAACTGTCTCATTGTTTCATCATCCATGACTATTAAGACATCATCATTGAGAATTGACTTTTGATTCCCCCCAACATTATCATCTTCGTGCTCCGTTCTTGCTTGAGTTTGAGAAGCTTCACCATCAAAGGCATCCTTCAAATATTCATCATATAAGCTATGCAAAACATCCATGATATTTTTTTATAACCAGCTCACGTTATATAGACTCGAAATTCATATTTTCCAAAGCAACTTGGACATATTTAAATTTGTGTCTAGGGTCTAGTATCACTGCTATCACCAATAATGGATTCATGTTATCCACCTTACCCTAATACTTACCCAACTTACTTTGCATTCTTCTCACCATGTCACCCAATAAAGTACTAGAAATAGTTGTACTTGTTTAAACTTAGTTTGCATTGCAACTACATGTGTTCAAGCTCACAAAATTTGATGTAGAAAATTTCAATGTCATGAAGTAAAACAACTTCAAAAAAACTGTAAACTCCTTTACAACACCCCAATCATATGGATTAGGAGGTTCTTCTTCAACTTTCTTTTTGAAGTATTCATTATAATCTTCATCTTTTTCCTCCATCAATCAAAAACTTTAATGAACCTCACAGCATGTCAAATTCCATCTAACAACATAAACAAAACTTGATTAATATTAGAAAAATAAACATTGAATATCAATTCATAACAATAATTAAAATTATCTATTGGAACAATCTATACTAAGTAGATTTTTTGAATCAATTCTTTGCTTTCTTATGATCCCCTTGAATCTAAACAGCCTTGCTAAAGAAGATCTAACAAATTTCATTACATGATGAATGAGTTTAATGGACTTATTCATCTCTTTCAATCCTTCAAACATAATCAAATTCAAAATATGAGCAAGCGCCGAGCTTGCATTGTACTCCCAACTGTGAAGACTGACTATGTATGATAGATAGAGTAAGACTGAGATGAGGGAGAGAGCAAGCCAATGAGGCAGGAAGATTGTAATTGCAACTGAGCAATTGAGCGAGATTGCAAAGAGTCTTCAGCGGCGACAACGAAGACAAGGTCCTAAACTCCTCATAACTGAAGTGCAAGAGTGACTGAGCAAGATTTGCATCTGCAGCTGGGAGAACATGAGATTTGAGTCTGTGACTGTGACTCTGCGTCTACGAGTAGAGCTATGGAGGTATGAAGCGTTCAAGCGTCTGCGGTGCAACAATTTGTGAGGGACTGAGGGTTTTGATTTGGGCAAACTACAAAACACAGCGTCCCAGCATCTACTCTGATAGACTAACTCAGTGTTTAATAAAAAATAATATGCAATATTTTTTTATTAAAACGAGATAGGACAAGCAGCCCGGTGGATAACCTGTAGCCCGTCCCGCTCGTTTATAAGATATACGGGTTGGCGCTTAATTGCAGTTTGCCAATTTTTTTATTAAATGGGGGGTTTACCCACCCACTTTCAACAAATATTGGAGGGTTGCATGGGTTGCGGGTTGCTACTCAGCCCTAATTTCATCAATGTAAAAATTATAATTTTAAAATATTAATTTATTGTATATTAATATAATGACTTTTTAAATCTGTTACGTAGAATCTTCAACTTATGTTATTTTTCTATCTATTTAATATTAGTTACTTATTACATATTATGCTATTATTTTAGAATGATTATAACATACTCTAAAGT